TTCAGGCTTTCGGCCTGAAACAGCCACGGGGCCTGTAAGCCCTGGATTTCAGGCTTTCGGCCTGAAGGACGCAGGGCCTGGAAAATGGCCCTTGTGTGCAGGCACAGCATGTAACACACACACACGCATACAGGACAAGTTTACTCGACCGACAAAAAAAGGGGATCTTTGCGGCACCAACACCGAGCCCCGCAAGGACTGGTGAGAACTGGCCCGATAATAATAAAAATAATAATAATAATGATGGACGATGGTAATAATAAAGGGTTCGCGGATCGACGGCAACATCGGCCTCGTTCGATGACGGCTCTCAGTCTCCTAATAAATCCCCCTGAATAATACGAACCCACTGTACCCCTATGCATAGTCACCCTTCAAACCCCTTTTTTTCTTTTTCTTTTCTTTGTTTCTTTTTTTTGTTTTGTTGTTTCCCTTTACCCCTTTTTTAGGACGACGTCTTATCAATAGGTACCGCACGAAGTTGTTTTGAGGAGTATCTGGTACTCCTGACGGGCCCGGTTCACGGAGCAAGGACTTCTCCAACTCATCGTGAAAACTACGCTTGTTTCGGGATACGACAAGGCCTGACAGGAGCGCGGCGTTTGCATTTTGAAAATACGAGCTCCCGCGCGCACATTTAGAATTCAGCCTGACTGTGACCAACCACGATAAGAGGTACTTAAGGAGAGGAGAACGGCCAAGGGTGATACTTCCAGCTATTCATTGCCTCAAGCATCTGCCTGCGCGGTGCTTCGGAGAAACTGGTTTTACAGGCCGCTATTCGAAGGAATCGCGGCGTTTTCGAAGGCCTACTGTCCTTTCGGCATTTTCCTGGACTGATTTCAAGTGGCGCGCTGTTTTCTTGAGCAACGGGATGGACTTTCACTTCGATCCGGACCTCGAGGAGGACTTCGTCGAGTCGGAAGAAGGAGGGGTATCGTCGCTGCTTAGCCATAATGCCTAGTGGCATGGACCCGCTGTTGCTGCTAGCGCTCCTGAACACGCTTACTCTTTGCCTTGCGCTCGCACCCAACGTTCTCATCGGCGCGCTGCTCTGCCGGGCCTGTCGAACGGAATGTGTGATGCTCTCCCCCTCGCGACGCTTTTCCTTTCTCATCTACGCTTCCGCATTCTTCTTCTCCGCCCTTAGCGCTTTTTGCACACTGGCATTCCTTGTTGCTGCGCTGCTCTTGCGCGATCTGCTTCCATAGCCAGCCCCCTCTCTCTCTCTCTCTTTTACTTGTTTTCCCCCCCTTTTTTTCCTCCTCTGCTAGGTGCTCTCGTAGGATGGCGCAAGATGAGCAGAGGACATCCTTAGAGCTTTCGACTTGCGCCTTCTTGTCCTTTCTAGCGCTGCTCTCCCTACTTGCGTTTCTCTTCTTTCTTGCCTCTCTTGAAAATGCAAGCATGCAGGCGCAGGCTCCGACCTCCCCCTCGCTACCGGTCCAGCCACTTGATCTGAGCAGCCAGGCACCCCCCCTTGATTCTCGCTCAACTTGTCTCTCCTCGTATGCTCGATCATCAGCATCGCCTCATTGCAAGGCGCCAGCCTCTTCGCCCTCCCCTCCCTCCCCCTCCCCCAAACTACCCTCATCTTGTTCTCGGCCTTCCGACGACAAAGGAAGGCCTCCCCTTTGATGACGCCGCCAGCGGCAGGCGGCAGAAAGGCCTCAGGGATGTGCCACCCCGCCTGTGGATCTGCTGTGTTGCCCTTTGTGCATGGAGCGCAGAAATAAGGGCACCGAATTAGCACGGTGCAGGTTTTTCTCTTCTTTTTCTCTTCTGCTTCTCTTCTGCTTCTCTCTCTCCGTACCTCCTCCTCTTTCTACCTCCTTTCCTCTCTCAACCCCCCCTTTTTTTTCTTGACCTTCATCACTCGTCTTCGTTTATCGTTTTTTTCTGACCCTCTGACGATCAAAGCCACGATGAGGTTGGATCTTTTGAAGGGCCAAAATATTTTCGAAAGTTGCTTCTCTAATAAAAGACTCGGTGTGCTCTCTCTCTTGTACTGTTCTCTCGTCCTCTTCTTTTTTTCATGCTTCTTTTTTGGGTAATGCTGATCATGATGAGCATCTCCTTTTTCCTTTTTTTTGAAAAACTTCTTGTGAATGCTGTTAAAAAATAGTTAACGCTCCAGCGTCGTGCGTCATTGACTTCTAGTCATTACGACTCTCGTATGAGCCCGCCTTTGCTCCTTACCCTATTCCCCTTTCTTCGCCCGATAACTGAAACCCTGGATCTGATGTTTAAAAGCAACGACCTCCCTCCTAGTAGCATGGACCATAATGGTCCGAATAATTCGACCTGTTCGTTACTAGAAGAGTCGTCACTGCCACCATCTGCACAACTAGGCACTTCTTAACCTTGATCTACCCTTGCTGTACCCAGTACGAGGGGAACTGTTCTTAAAATTGGCAGATTCCGCGATGGATGTTTATTCTTTTTTTTGAAATTTTCTGTGCTTTCGTTTTTTCTTCCTTTTTTCTTTGCTTTCGTTTCTTCGTAAAAAACAGCGTTGGACATAGCAATCTTTGGACCTGATGACTGGAGCAGCGACTTCCCTTCTAGATGAGCTTGAACCAGGATGATCCGGATAACCCGGCCGGTTCGCCGCTAGAAGAGTCTTCGCTACCCCCATCAATCACACTGATTACGTCCTAAACCTGAATTACTGATACTGTCTAAATCCTTCTACCAGGGCATGAGGAATTATTCATTAAAATTGGAAAGATCCTCGACACTTATGAATATGTTTCTCCCCACACCACCACACCACTGTCTGTCTTAGTGGTGCAGGGAGAGTGGAGCGGTGCAGGGAGATGGCAGCGAGGAGAGCGCAGGAGCTCACACCGAGCAGAGCAGCAGCGGGCGGCGATCAGGTGGGTGGCCACCAGCCCCTCTCTCTCTCTCTCTCTCTCTCTCTCTCTCTCTCTCTCTCTCTCTCTCTCTCTCTC